GATGTGGCTGCTCTTCGCCGTGCAAAGGAGGGTGAGCTGGCAGCAAAGAAGACTGGCTACATCTCAGAAAAGGCGGTCAGTGCTCGCATTAACCGGAGGGAGTTGGCACTGCACTGCCGGAGGAGGACCAGGGGGGAGGAGGAGACCACCATATTGATTGGGTCACTGATTGATCAGTTTGACAGTGCGGACGGGAAGGATACTCTGGGAGTTCCACTTCTGAACCATGAACGGATCCAGCAGATATGGAAAGAACAGCGGAAGCATGTACAGTGTATCCAAGACCCAGAGCACTTTCCGCTCTACATAAAGAAGGGGACACTGAAGAAAGGCGGTGTGGAGCTGTGCTGCTACAGGTGTGCTCGAGGCTCTACCTCCTTGGAGTCATTCCACCTCCACCTGAACCGTTTTATTCCAGGTATTACATTCATATGGATTACTAATTTTTCTGTAAAAAAATATAAGCACTGTAACTCCTTCCATTACGTTAAAGTAATGTCACATTAATAAATGTCACACTTTTACAGTTCTTTTCTGATGTCATAAAAGCATTGACAAAGCTGTCTTGCCTCACAAGTCACTAATAACTCTGGTTATAACGACAATAATTTTTTAATGTAATTACATAACTCTATTACATGTAACCAGACATAGCACCTCATGTGTAGTAAATATATTGTACATATGTGACATATAAAACCCTTTTTTATTTATTTAACTTTTAGGAACCAGTGCCAGTGATGCGCATTTTCAGGCCTATCTCCTTGAGGGCTTGATGCGTTGGAATGATGACCGGATGGAAGATGCCATAAAAGGAGCGTCCTCCATCCGGTCATATGGCAGTGCCATGAGAGAGGCTGTGGACCAGCTTAGCCAGACAGTCTTTGGGAAGCCCTGGGATGAGCGCTATCGCCCTCCTGGAGCATATACAGGCAAGACATTCATTAATTTGTTATTTTGTAATACTCTACTAAGTATCTATTTAGCCTTAAATGTACTAGACAAAATATTAAGAACATATTTTTTCCCTTTTATTCTTGTAGGTGAATTGCTAGGAATAGAGTACCTTTACAGCCAGACTGGCAAAACATTGACTCCAGTGCTCCAGAACCCAGAGGATGAAGACAGGCTGGTGGAGGAAATTGATGACCAAGACCTGCAAGATGAGGGGTTTGAGGAAGAGATCACGGAGGACATCACAGTTCCAGTGCTGTACGAGAATGACCCCTGCCATGATCTCGCAAACAGCCCCTCATCTTTGCCTCAGCCTCAGTCCCCAGCATCACTGGCTGATGTATCAATGGCTGACGTGTCACTGGCTGAGCCATCCACATCAACTAGAGAAGGACAGCAACTTGCCCCTGCCCCTTCAGTGTTGTCACAGCCATCTGACACTGGAAGCAGTCTCTCCGACGAGGCTCAGGTAAAACACTTTAAGGGCTTTATTTAATTTCAATCTCGTTTTATTCCACATATATTAACATTAATCTGAATTTACTAGGGATCAGTCATTGGGCCCGATGGCATTGCTGGGTGGGACAAGGTCCAGGATATGGCTGGTTACCTGGTTGGTCTTCGTGAGGCTCCTTACCTCACTGACCTGCAGGTGACAGAGGCCATCCTGCTGTGGACAGCTCTCCATGACATAGACAAACAGCGGGTCAACTATCAGCCTCGACATCAGCCTCAGCTGACACATGGACGCTTTAAGGCACCGAAGCGGTCCGGAGTCACACCAGGTGTGGAGAGTGTAAAACGGTGTCTGATTGGACATCCCGGGGGACCAGCACAGTGGCCCAGCACCAGCCGCTTGGTTGAGGCCATTTGTACAAAGCTGTGTGCTTTACACAAGTCGCCGACCAAGAAGGCTGGAGTTTGCACCCCCAGGTGGTCTAAAATCCTCTCGGATTACCACCACATCCGAGAGCTGGTGCTTAATAATCGCAGGCTGATGGATGAAACAATGATCCAGCTGTTTGAGCTAAACCAGAAGACACTCATTCAGTGGTAAGCAAGGCACATTATTTTCTTCAAATTAACTGAATACCTTTATAAACGTATATATAATACATGTAATTTATTTTCAGGTTTCAACGGCAGCAGAAAAAACAGGAAATGAGTGTCCTTGCTCAGGGACTGACTCCACCTGACCCAATTGCTGTGGCTGATACGCAGCTTCCTCCACCGAGGGAAAAATTGGATGAAGCGGCATCAACCTCACGCCCAAAACATACATTTATCCTTCCGCCAAATCGAGAAGGACAGGCTCCTCTTCTGCGACCAGGTCGATGGCCTGCTGCTGCCACCACCATGGTGTGCCCCATTGCACCTGCCCCCACAGCATCAGGAGTTGTGCAGCCCATTTCAGCACCTGGGTCATTGTCACTAGTCCTTAACCCAGACATGACCGTGTCAATGGTGATTCCACCTTCTGGTGCTTCAACATCCGGTGCAGGCCCAGCTCCACCTGCTCCTGTGTCTGCTGCTCCTGTGTCCCGTTACACCCAGAGGAACAGGCGCCGGCGGGCCCAGGAGACGGAAAGCGGAGTCCATAAGAGGAAGTATGTGCGAGGGGTAACCTTTAACATGTGCAGCAAATGTGGGCAGCCCAAAACCAAAGAGTTTGGCCATAGCCGATATGGAAATGCCACATTTTGCTTGCGTGCCTCAAATGGAAAATCTTTAGATGACTGGTTGGCAGAACAGCGCCAGCAAAATACAAGCCAAACTCCACCTCCTCAATAAACAATTTGCTTTTTTCCTGTATATATTTTGTATATATTACTGTACATGGTTCCACCCAGTCTTTCATATTGTCCTATATATATATATATATGTGTATATATGTGTGTTTGTGTCTGTGTACTCATTTCAGTATTTGTGTGTATTCATTTTAATATTTGTTTTTTTACATTTAAAGTGTCATTTAAATATTTGTGTATTCATTTTAATAAAACATTTGAAGTGTCATTTAAATATTTGTGTGTATTCATTTTAATAAAACATTTAAAGTGTCTTAAAATAATCTGATAAATCATATCAATCAAATCATATCCCTCACAAAAAACACATATTTGAAGAAACATTTTTATTCATTTTATTAAATCATAAACAACATGTAATATGCAATATTTTTTTTAAATAATATACACAAAAAAAAACATTTAATAAAACATTTGAAGTGTCTTAAAACAAATCTGATAAATCATGTGAATCAAATCATATCCCTCCATTTTTATTCATTTTATTAAATAATCAACAACATGTAATATGCAATATTTAAAAATAATAATAATACACACAAAAAAATATAAATCAATATAATGATGTCATAGATAAATGAAGACGCAGGCGCAGTTGATCGCACGCAGAACACGGGTTCGAATCCAGTCCGCGGGGGGTGACTTGTTTCACATGTGACTAAAACTCCTTCATAACGCACAGGAATATAGCCCTAATAATGTTGCAGGGGAAATTCTTGGGCAAATTCTCGTTTTTTGCGTCTTTTTGGCTTGCGTGCGGGGGCGCAAAGATTGGGCCCCTTCTTATGCTAAGCGAGCGCTCTACCATCTGAGCTAATTCCCCTTCTATCCCCATAGCTAATTCAACAAACAAACAAACAAACAAACAAACAAACAAACAAACAAACAAACAAACAAACAATAATTACCATATAATAAAAAAGCAATTACAATATATTACAACTTTGGTAACACTTTACAATAAGGTTCATTAGTTAACATTATTTAACTACCTTAGTTAACATGAACTAAGAATGAACAATACTTCTTCAGCATTTATTAATCTTAGTTCATGTTAATTTCATCATTTACTAAGACGTTATTACAATCAAAGGTTGTATTTGTTAACATTAGTTAATGCACTGTGAACTAACATGAACAAACAATGAACAGCTGTATTTTGTATTAACTAACATTAACAAAGATTAATACATACTGTAACAAATGTATTGCTCATTGTTAGTTCATGTTAGTTAATACTTTAACTTATGTTAACTAATGAAACTTATTGTAAAGTGTTACCGCAACTTTTTTAGCTTTTCCTGGTTTATCATTTATTTCCAATAAATTATCAATTTACCTGTTATGTTCACAAGTTTACACATTTGAGTGTATATTAATTAACATATATATGCTTAAACATTTACACGTATTAAATAAAAAAATGTACTTATATTTTGTATGTATATATATATATATATATTCTATGGGTTTTGTTGAGGGTAACAAAATGGTCAATATAAAGGTTAAATTATGACTGTTTGCAGCTAGAAATCCTAACACATAATAAGTGTTCAGTGAATAAACAAATTAGTTACATCTTTCATTGTATATTCGAGTAATGTGGTTGCTTACAAAAAAATTCCAATAGATTTACATGCAAAAATCTAAACTTTTAAGAGTAGAAGTCTCTTTTTGGGAGGGCATGAGCGATGCCTCATTCACAAATGAATCACTCTTTTGAGTCGATGCTGTTCAAAGACTTGATAAAACAAGTTGTCAAAACTGTCTTAATTGGTTCGTGAATCAGTTTGAATTATTTGTTCAGTTTCCTGCACGCATTGAACCGTTTGAAGCGGTTTCTCACTCGGAGTCGTAATAGGAAATTTAAGAACATCAAGCGGTGGATGAAGTGCCTGTGGACCTACAGTCAATTGAAAGCAAATCGGCAAATTAATCCTATTGTTTGTCAGCGATGAAGATCTTTATTAGTTGAACAACTGCATATGCGGTCTGTGAACGACTCCACATGTATAGCTACATCCGATGTTATTTCATTCATACAGGTAATACATTTTACAACAAAACAGATTATTACGCCAAGTACATGATACTACTCCACTACTAAAAAAAGTATGACATTACCAGTTTTATGGACATACTGTATACCTTAATTTATACATTAAATAAGCTACCATTGTTCAAAGAGTATGAAATAAACACCCACTAACCCGCAATTTGTGGTATTTTTTCTTGAGCATTATGTAATATCAGCATACAGATAATGTACCACATAAACATTGTTGATCCTATTATCATAAAAAACAATATTTAAATGTCAAGTGATTGTGCAAATAATTTATAGTATGGGCAGATATCAGTATTCAGCACTTTTGGGGGATTATTTGGGGTCCATCCCCTACCTACTTACAATTATCCTGACCACACAAAGTAAGCAACCTCATCCAAATCCACTGGGTAATCAGTAAGGTATATGGGACCTTTGTCAAAATACTCTCCCTTGTAACTTCTCCATCTGCCTGCAGGAAGATATATATCTCTTTCTTGCTTGCCTGGTTCAAGTACAGGAGCCACCAGAAGGTCATCTCCTATAAGGAACTGAGAGTCAATTTTATAAGCTGCTTCATCATCTGTTGCAATCCACCAAAGAGGGCGAATAATGGGATCCCCAGTGTACAGCACTTCCCCAGCAAGCTCCAGAACCCGAGGGGCTACAAGAGACGTGTGGAGAGCAATGAACTTATTGGCGATTTTTACCACCTCATCATCATAGTGCCATGGTGGAAGTGAGAACTGCATGGCTGGCATGAAAGCTGAGAGCTCTAGCCAACGGATGTACAGCTCACGATCTGGAAGTCCAGTGAGGTTTGAATATGCATTTCCACCTATTATGTCTGGTAGAACAAACTGGTAGCCTAGAATGCTGATAGTAAGTACAGTAGGGATTATAGATTTGAGGCCTAAGGTGTATCCCCATAGAGAGTCACGGTCAATAATTCTGAAGAAGCAGGAGATGTTTTGAGATTGATAGCCCGACCGCAGCTCTGCGCGGTCATTGAACGGTATTGCCATCTCAGTGTAGCGGCGGGTAAAAGTACTGGGATCCTGCAAAGGAACAAAGGTACTGAAATGCTGAGGTAAGTAACTTGTTTCTCCTGCATCAAACATGAAAGATGCCACTCCATACTTGTTCTTAAGGGTGCGGAGATTCAAGGCATACCAGTCTCGAGCTTCTGGATTTGTGAAATCCAAAATTCCAGCAATACCATTCCACCAACGCACCAAAGCGGGAAGCTGGCTTTCAGGCACTCGTACAAACAGACCTCGCTCTACTCCAACACCAAAATTGACAGAATTATAGTTGACAAATGGATGAGTCCACAGAGTAACCTGGAAGCCATCTTCCCTTAGTTTTTGAAACATGGCTGAAGCATTGGGGAACTTGATTGGATCTAACTCAAACCCCCCGTAGCCACTAGTGAATCTATCGTACAGCTCCAGGTGACTGCAGTTGAAGCCATTTTTTTGTATGTCAGATGCATATTTTAAAACAATTTCTTGGTTGACTTCTTCTAGAGCTCTTGTAGACCACATCGGTTGTCTGAAGACAACTTCTGAGGGAACCTTATTGGGCTTGTTGAAATATCGCCGTACCATGTACTTGTGTATAGAGGTGACGTCAAGGCCGACACATACTCGATAGCTGAGTGTCACATGATGGGGTTTACCAGGGTCTGGCCTATAAGGGCTGTCATCGTATCGAGCTTGGAACCACAGAGTTCTGTTTGTTTCATCCCAGCCAAGATGAAAAGGAACAGAATTGTTAATTTTTATGGCTGTAGCATTGGAAGAAAGCCAGTAGCGCTCTAAGATACCACCAAACGCCTGGTGATTGTAACGGATATCACCTGTAATGAAAGGTTTGGGTGTTTGCTGTCCTTTTAAAACTATTGGCCAATGTTGCGACCAAGTCTCCGCGCCACCATACCAATGTGATCCACTGCAGGACATGACGTGCTCCACCAACCGATGCTCCTCTAGCTCGTCCCAGCGCACACGATAGCACTCAACTGTGTCTTTAGGCTTTACTGTTTCTATGAAGAAATTTATATTCCCCGCATTTGATTTGTCACAGGTGAGAATCTGTCCCTCTTTCGAACACGAGTCCAGATCAAGGGTTCCAGACCTAAAATGGACAAAGAAAAACACTGTGACTCATAATCATAATTAATCAAATATATACGTAATCATAAATACAAGCATAAACAACAACATAAAAAAAATATACCTGAATGCCATTTTGAAAATGACAACACCAGCTTGGTTTCGGATGACAAAACCGTCTTTGTTAAGGTCTAATCGTTCAGTCGTCAGACGGTTGGCCTTTTGAAGAGAAGAGTAGTAGTAGCACCATGCTACCATGGCAGCAATAACCAGTATGACTCCGAGCGCACTTGCTGTTATCACCGAGCGGCTTGGTCTGCTAACTCTATTCCGCCTAGGTGTCGAGTAATGGCTCATGGCGCCGATGCCAATATCTCCAACAGTTCCTGATACAATCTGGTACATCTTTACAACACTTTTATGCACACAGCCTTCTGTAAAATGTTTCTAACTCATGAACAGAACTGTTTTAGGTGTACTGCACATGGGCTGCACATGGTTGAAGCAGCAGCTGGCCAGGACAACTTGAAAATTTGCCATGCCTAGACATATTGAGACAATTTTAAAGGAATAATATGAAGTAAAAAAAATGCAGTTCTTCTTTTCATGCAAAAAATTCAATGTTTGAAAGTGATGCTATAGTAGGGAATTTAATGCAATTTATCATGCCTCTTTGTGGTTTAACCAAAAATTAAGATTTCATCATTTACACATTCCTCAAGTCGTTCCAAATATGTATGTCTTTCTTTCTTCTGTGGAACGTAAAAGATTCTGAGAAATGTCTTATTGTCTATTTGTCCAATGGAAGTCAATGGTAACAAAATGTAGTTACCACCAATATTCTTCAAAACAGCTTCAATTTTATTCTGCAGCAGAGAAAAAAAAAGTACTTCAGGCTTGGAACGACATGAGGGTGAGTAAATGATGAAGGAATTTTCCTTTTTGGGTGAACTATCTCTTGTAGACATGATAAACTGCACGGGAAAATCCACAATTCTCAACATCTGTGAGACACAAAAGCAGATTTAAGCTGTTGTTTTTACTCTACAGCAGCTGAATAGTCCTCTAGGCATGTATTGAACATACAGTTTCCAATACAGGGTTGTGATGTCCAGTAACAGGCAAATATATCCATCTATATGGATTCGATGGACATTTGCAGCAGAATAAAAGTCTCTGCTATAATTTAAACAATTGTAATTACAATTTCAATGTTGTGTATATTGTGGGAATTAACTAGTTTCAGCAGTTCTAGCTTAGCAGATTGAGGACAATTCACTTCACTTGACAAATTAAAGTACAGTAACACTGCTCCTAGATAACCAGTGATTAAGTGTCTTGCAGATGATAATATTTCACGTTAATTCTACAGTTTTTGAGGTATTTACTTGAGAGCACAAATGTTTATCTGTATTATGACACCTTAAATAAATATAGGTTACAATAAGCAATATATTTTCACCAGTTACTTACATTTTGTGTCCAGATGAGATAATTCGGAAGGAAATAGGCCTGCTACAATACAAAACTATGAATAAGTGAATATTTTACTTTCACTCAACAATTAGTTCATATGTAGCCTACTCGCCTTGACGTCTGAAGATTCACGAACATCCTCTGAAACGGGTTACACACGACTACGAAATGAAACTTTTCAAACAAAATCATAAGTGTTTTAAGAAAAAAACTTAATCTGATAACGACATTAGGACTACACGTCGGTTAAAATGCTCTTGCTTGAACGTAGCTTGAAAGCAAGTTCGACCTGTTTTTGTGAATCATGGGTAATGTAGTATTGTGAGATGTGTGGTGGAAGTATTTTATTTGATGATAATTGATAACATAAAACTGCACGGAAAGAAACACGAAATATCTCTATATAGGCCAGAAAAAAATATTTAGTAGCATTGTTTATAATTGTATTTTCCCAAAATTTGGTTAGTATCAACCAATTCTTTTTTTACAGTCTATGGTTCAACCAGGTTTTATATTTTCCATAACACACTTATTCCACTAGATGGCGGTGAATAATAAGAGGAAAAAAATCGTCACAAAACTGATCATTGTAAATCAAAATTACAGAGGACAGCTTCTCTTGTGTTTCTTGAAGCTTTGATGGGAGATTGCAAGAGTTAACAGTATTGTGATTCTGATGGGAATATAGAAGACCTGACAAAGGCATTTTCATTTTTAAAAAGTTGTTTAATGTAACATTGTGAGTGAGAATGTACTGTATACAACACATGACCTGCACTTTGTCATTAGTCCAAACAAGCTTTAACTCTGGACACTGATCAGTGTAAAAACAAATAAGAAAACATTCACCTCAGCAAACAGAAACTGAAAATTGCTACCTAGCAGCATGCTGCTAAGCAATGTCGACCCATTACAAAAAAATAAAAAGTATGTTCTGATATTCCCTACACAAAAAACACAAAAATAAGACAGTCTCCAAACTGTCTCAATGCTAAAAAAAATCAGACTATATCAAGATCTATAGACACATCATACCACCTATAATAAGGAACAATGAAACGTGTGTCTTTCCATGTAGTCATGCATGGCCAGAATCTGCAGAACACTGTTGAGTCTAGGTAACAAATGTTCTTTTCTCTCTCCCAGTCTCCCTGTCCCCAGTGACACACAAATTAAAATATATCAGCCTGGGCCTCGCTTAGTACTCAATTTCATTAAAATTTTCAGAGAAGCCTGAGTATGGGACGCTGTCTCCAGGATCTGGAGAAAGAGAGAAAGAAAGAGTTATGCACAGTATAAACATAAGTACAACATGTCTCTTACAGGGTCCCATTTTACTGCTTCCTCAGTAAACAGAATCAGATAACTACAGTAACAGTATGTTATCCCTCCATAGACAAACTCCAATGAGAACCTCACTGAAGAAACCATCTGATCCCCCCACCTGCAGTGCAGTCAACTGACCTCACACAACCTACTGTAATACATCAAATAAAAAAATCTGAGGATGAGGCGATGCATGAATCACTGACACTTCCTGTTCAACCTTCAGGTTTGTATTTGAATTCACATACTACAGCACACAAGAAGACATTTATGTAACCATTCGTATGAATTAAATCTTAGAGCAAGAATTTGTGGGGCCATGATGTGACATGTTTTTTAATCCTATATATTAATTTATTCAAAAATATAAAAAGTTTAATAATATACAATATCATTAAATAAAATACAAATTATAAATATAAAATAGCTAAAAATGCAGTTAAACCCTTTTTTTTAATAAACCTTAATAAAACTTTTTTTTTTTTTTTATTCTTTAATATTTCATTGAATTTCATCTTGATCTTTTTTGGGGGTAATACAACCTACAACAAGTCTTGATATCTTAATATAGAAAAAATTTTATTAAAATAATTTTTCGCCATAATATTTTACCATATTATCATTAAAATTATTATTATTACATGTGGTCCAACCAACATGCAGAAATATGCAGGAAAAAAATGTCAAACAGGAAATGACATCATAGAGAGGACCCATGCAGCCCCTCATGACTGTGTCAAGGTCAATAACTCTCCTAAATTATCAGATAATTTGACCTTTTTATGACGTGGTAGTCATTTAAAAATATATTTAAAAAACGTTGTGTTGTCGTTATGGTAAACAGTTTTGTTCACTCACCTTTGCATGGTCCCTTTTTAAACACAATATCATCGATTGCAATGTCACTCCTTACTGAAGATCCTCTAATGGCTTCAAATATAATCTGCAAAAAATTAGGGACACATTACTTTATTTCTCGTACAAAAAAAGTAACACAGTGACCTTCAGTCAGTTTCCTGGCACTTCAAGCACCATCTTCTCAGTGATCAAATGGTTGCTTTGATATGGACATTATAAAAGAAGTTTTTCAAAGACATTTTTCAACAAGAAAGGGAGTAGGGGCGTGTTTCTAACCCAATGCCTTGTGTAACACTCGTAATCCACTGTGGCTTTCATCCAGGACACACTTTGTTCTCCTTGTCTTGTCCAAAGCAATCTCTCCTTGTCCCCCTTATGCAGCAGGACGCTCAGGGTGCCAGTGCCTGAGCCATGCATGTGGTAGAAGAAGATCAGACACTGAGGGCCGGTCGAACCCCTCAGCTCAGTGGACATCAGTCGGGCTGACTGCTTGGGTAACATGTGAGATGCCTCAATGTACATGAAGTAGCCTTGAAGTCAGAGCAGGAAAGACTTAGTGTGCGCTGTCTCGTGACATCAGCAGTTAATAAAGCATTTCAAGCTGAAGTATAAATCTGACTCACCTACCCCTAAGGTGTGGTCCCCTTTGGGTCCTGTGTAAGATGTGGGTGTCTGTCCCCTGATTCGCAACCAATGTCCTTTCTTAACTTTCTTTTTCTGAGTGTAGCCACAGTCCCCAGTTTCAAAGTTACAGTGTCCAGGAGGAGGATTTAAGGGTCCTAAACAGAGCACAAAAAGGTTGACCTGTTTTAGGATAGTAAAGTTCAGCCATATTACATGCGTAAGTGAAATGGTTAAAAGCTTGTCTATTTCTATTCACCGCAGCCGGCACTGCCCATTTAATGTCTATGTTTGTGAGGGCAGATGTTCTCCATTACCATGGAATATATGCCTATAAACAGAATATTTAAGAACCGCCTTGCCCATTTCTTAAGCCACATTGTTTAAAACGTGCTCACAACTGACAAGTAACTTCTGCCAAGCAACCTGTAAGTAATATAGTTTACCCTTTAATAGAACAATCACTTACTTAAATCTTTTACAAGTCATGGGTTTCACTTCCATAAAAGCAACACAACTGGGTCAAACACCAGTGCTAGACTAACCCTTATGCGTCAGTTTTATTATTAAAAGAAATAGCCAATACCAAGCATAACTTTTTCTTTATGCTTCTATGAATGAAAATGCATTCCTAAATGTATCTTTAGTTGTTCTCCGTTAAAATGAGCATGTGGAAATACATACATGATAAATAGATTTATTAATTGAAAATTTCCAACATTAGAGGATGTTTCACCACAATTATTAAGTGACGTTTGTAAAAAATTAAAAATATTGTGCTCCTCATAGATTGCAGGATGTCCTATTTTCAGGAATCAAACTTTTAAAAGCCTCTAAAGAATTTGGCCCAATTATAGCGAATTCAATATCTACATGATATGTATGGTATGATATATCTGGATCACAGTTTTGATTGGAAAACAATTTGGTCAAATGTTTCAGTCTCATCCAAAATCCCTGCCCACCAGCTGATCAACTACAATGTAATCCACAGAATATATTATACTGAAACGTTTTAGAATGAAACTTATTCCCTTCCCTGTATGTGACAAATGTAACACTGGTGCAATTGGCAGCTTTCTCCATAATATATTCTGGGAATGTCCACCGATCTTCAACTTCTGGGTTAAAGTCTCTGCTGTTCTATCACAACTTTTGAAACTGACAATTGATCCTGAGCCATGTATTTTCCTTCTTAATGATGTCCTCCTCTGTCACTTTAACTTTAAATCAAAAAAGGACTTTCTTCTCTGGGTTAGCATCTGCCAAGAAAACTATCATTAGTTCTTGGTTTCCTCCTAATTCTTTGTCAAAATAGCAATGGTTGTCCTATTTTATAGATATTGTTAGTTTGGAGCGATCCACTGCCTTAATCAATAGAGCAAAGATTACAACTATTATGTACTGGAACCGAACTCATGACAGCTTGATTTCTTGATTTCTATTCTTAAAACTTAAAGCAGCACTAAGTAGGAATTCCGTTTTTGTCAAACAGCAACCCCTAGAGTCGCTGTGGAGCACTTGTACTGTCGTGAATAGCACTCACGCAGAGATGGCTCGCACTCACGGCCGGATCCCCTCCCCCTGTACACCGGTACCTGTTCAGTAGGATGGACGCTGTAACGAGTGGAAATAAGGTATGGCCCCTTTAAGAGCTGCGCGCGCCCTGTTTAACTGTCGGCAGTCTGTATTGTATGTGCGCCTCGAACACCACATGTATACGGCGCCGGGTTATTTCTGTTTGATGCTCATTTTATCAGAGTTTTATCAGATCTGTTTTTTGCCGTAAAGCAATTCGTTACCTCGCGAGACCTGATATCACACGATACTTCCTAACACTGAGGCCGGCGGCACGCCGGCCCAAAGTTGCAAGGGTGGTTTTGCGGCTCACAGGCACCAGGGGGGTGCGAGACGACCAACATTCAACACGAAATCAGTAATATAAACATTACAATGACTCCAAAGCTGTTCGGTTAAGGTAAAAAAGTTACTTAGTTCACCTTTAAGTGATCTAAAGTTATAGGATAGGATAGTATACCAAGATGTAGATCAAGGCAAATGCAGGTTCTCTTTTTTTGGTTTTGTTTTATCTGTTTCTGGTCATTTTTTTCCCCTGCTTTTATTTTAATAGACACCTTAATTATCTTAATTTCAACAGACACTTTCTGCCTGTAAATCATCTATCTCTATCATTATATTTATAGTTTTTTTTATAGTTTTTATTATAGTCTTTATATCTGTTTCTCTTGTGTATATCCGTTTTATATTCGTCATCAGTTATATCCTCCAATTAAGTCAGTGAACATTTGTCAGTGTTAATGCTGGTTACTTTGTTTGTAAGAAAAGCACAATAAAGCATTGGTTAAAAGAAATTCTAGTAAAAACTTTCTTTTGGATGGTTTTTAAAATTCCTTGTGTATGGTGGGAGGAAAAAGGATAAAAAGCTGGAATTACCTTTAACCATGTAACATAATTGCCACCTGAATAGGGCTTTTCGCTGTTAAAAGGGTAGAAATACCTGTAGCAACCCGACAGTCTCCAAGGGTCACTGAGATGTCATCGAGAGACACAAGTCCACAGTCCCAGAAGTTTCTGCAGATGCTGACAAATGCTACCTTAAAGGAAAGTTAATAAAAAGTTACATAATGACAAATAAAGCTATCATAGTTGAGTAGTCCTAAACTCCTGTTTAGCACATCATTTTACTCAAGAACAAAGCAAAAATGGTCAATTAAATACTAATTAAAGGTACACTATTTAACTTTTATTTTGTTAAAAATGAACAAAATTTAAATAATGAATCAATACATCATCAATCCTTCTCCCAAAGTTTTGTATTACCCTGATTCACTATGGTAAGCCTATTATAAGTGTTTATATTTTAGACCTATCGGGATGTTGTTTTTTTAGCTGGAAATTCGCATATGTGCGTCTCATCATATCTGTAAATAGAGAAAAGTTGCTCTGACTACTTTGATGCATGGAAGTGGCATAGGTTAGTTGTCACAACAAGAGAGAAAGCTTGACATGGAGCACGATAAATCTCAAACCTCCGGGGAATTAACCGTTTTGTTTGTTTTTTTACATGAAAGTCTGTTGGCAAAAAGAGAACGCGAAAGCTCGTAATAAAGCGAGAATCAACATTAACTTTGCTTTTTGGAGATGGCGAGGACTCAGGGATTTTAAAATGTAAAAGCAATGTGGAATTAGTAAGGTATTTTATTTAACAGATAAGTTCATTGTGAAGCATTGTGAAGTGTTTTATTATGGTTGTTGTAGCGCTGGGCTGGAATTTATAATGGGTATGCACAGTAATGTCTTTAGCTAGGCAGCTTGAGATACTTTCCAATTTCCATCAAAACTAATTATATCTCTTAAGCCTAGTAGCCTAGTGAATGTTTTATGAGCAGTAATAGGATCACTATAGGATCCCTATAGGATCCCCATATGCATCCTCACAGAGCCAAAGCACAACCAAACCAATGTTATCAGAACTGAGATCCCTGAGATTACAACAGGAATTCACACACGGGGTGACCCAAAGTGCAGGACAAGATTTGTTAGGGCTTATCATTTGGAAGTGACAAGGAAATACTTCACTAAAATAAAAAAGTATTAAAACTGAATTTGTACTTTTCATTCAGGACAACATCCTTCTATCATCTCTAATCTGAAGAACACTTAAACCTTCATGCGTTTCATCATCACAGAATTTACACAACCGTTCAACTGTTTTTTAAGTAAGTCTCTCATGCGCACCAAGGCTGCATTTATTTGATAAAAAATACAGTAAAACAGCGATATTGTGAAATATTACAAATCATAATAACTCTTTTTATATATTTATATATATATACACTACCGTTCAAAAGTTTGGGGTCGGTACGGTTTTAAATACTTTAAAAATAATTCTCTTCTGCTAACCATGGCTGCGCTTATTTGATTAAAAATACAACAAAAATCAGTTATAGTATTAAATATTATTCCAGTGTAAATCAGCTGTTTTCTGTGTGAATATATAGTAAAGTGTAATTTATTCCTGTGATCAAAGCTGAATTTTTAGCATCACCAGTGTCAGTGTCTTCAGTGTCAAATGATCCCTCACAAATCAGTATATTATGAGGATTTGATGCTCAAGAAACATTTATTATTATTATCAATGTTGAAACAGTTGTTCGTCTGTCAGTTGTACAGTTTTTTTTTAGTTTTTTTTATGATTCTTTGATGAATAGAACAGCATTTGAACAGCATTTGAACAGCATTTGTTTGAAATAGAATCTTTTGTAACATTATAAATGTCTTTACTGTCCTTGATAAATAAAAGTATTGATTTATTTCCTCCAAAAAATAAAAATAAAATTCTCACTGACCCCAAACTTTTGAACGGTAGTGTATATATATATATATATATATATATATATATATATATAGTAATTGTCAAGTAATCAATTACTCAAGTAAAAAATCAAGTAATCGAATCATATGGCAAAACTGAATTTTCACATGATCCATCAGAAATCATTCTAATACTATATGCTGATTTGGTGTTCAAGAAACATTTCTTATTATTATCAATGTTGAAAACAGATGTGCTTATTAAAATAGAAATATTTTGTAACATTATACATGTATTTACTGTCACTTTTACTTTTACTGACAAATTTAATGCATCCTTGTGGAATAAAAGTATTAATTTTTTTTATTTCTTTTTATTTTACTGACCCTAAAATTTGGAACGGAGGTGTATATAAAAAAATGAAAAGCAGCCATGATCATCAACATAACCCAGTCTTGAAGAAACACATATTTACAACCCATTCCTTTTACACTTACCTTAGTAGACATGGGCTTTAAGTAGGTGACTTCCACCTCTGTCCAAACATCTCTAGACCTCTCAGACACGGTCCAGAGTTTCTCCTGAGCTACGTTGTTTTCATCATAGATATAGAGAGCCAGGGCATTATCTAATTTCATGAACCCATGCAAGGCATAGTAGAACCTGAGGCAGTATTTGTGGTTCCCTGGCAGGGACGGTCCAAAAAGACGACCCACATACCCTGGACGAGAGGGATAACGAGTGTTGGTCAGCAGAAAAGACCCTGTGGATATAATGGACAGACATAAGAGACATAAACATTTTAAATAAATAGTCATATGGTTCTTTGTTCATATTAATAGTCATTTATTATGAGTACTGGTCAATTAAAATTAAATATGCATGAAGCAGAAGCAAACAATTAAATTTAAATGTGCATAAAAATATAATATTGCTAGTAAATGTAAATATATGATATGTCACAAATTTGGTGATTTTATGAAAAAAACAGTCTCACTTCCGCACCAGTGCCTGTGGTGTGATCACCCATGCGGTAAACATTTGGTTTCACAGAGACCATGTTCCACACTGAACCTCCGGTCTGTTCCTGATAATACTGACACAGCCCCTCCTCAAAGTCACAGTTTGCAACAGCAGGGTCAAACGCTGGCTCTGAAACACGAGTCACATGAAACAGACTCACTTCATGAGCATCTCCCACATGCACAGACTTTCTGTAAAATGCATGTAAACTGCTGACTAAAGGGAAAGTCGACGTGGTTGCTATAACAGGACAACAACAAGAAAATTCCCTTACAGCCACTTGTGGGCTGTTTTAGGTTGTAGGGTACTGAAGGCCCCTCTGAAAAAAATATGACTACTTTCTATCCCAAACTATATGATGGTGAAAAAAATATATTTCTAGTTATTGCATATTGGTGGAGCAACATTTTTGTAAAGGTAAGACGTTTATTTTGAACATAAAGGCAGCTTTATTCAAGGGTTTTTTTTTATCCTAAATGCCATCCTTTCACTTATTCAACAATTACTGACAAATTATTGATTCACTGAAACACATAAATACGTTTTTTTAAATCTCATAATATGTGTTCATTTAATCAATTCTCATTAGCTACATAAATCAGAAATATTTTAAAAGAAGTTGGCCTACATGTTAGATCAAATTACAACCTGATCTCACAGGAAAGCGGAACTATTTTACGAGGTGGCGATTTCGTATGAATTCGTACAATGTGAATCGTACGAAAACGTACACTTCAATTTAAAAAAAAAAACATGAATGTTCACCCCTAAACATAACCGTCAGTAGGGCGTACGCAGATCATACAAACCGTAAAAATTAGATTGTACGAATAAGCCACCAATTCGCCAAAACGTAAAATAGCTACGAATTGGCATTAGATTGTTGAAAATTATCTCAACTTTTCTAATACATGTAGACCTCATATATCAGGATTTTCCAGTGCATAGCAATAAGCATGTCTTCAAGTAAGTGCAATGGTGTTTTTTGTTGTCATTCGATGATATGAGAGAAAATCAAATCAAAAAGGTCTTTTACCATGAGGAACCTTTAGTCCAGTTGAACCCAAGTATTAACCCTTAAACACATACTTTGGATCTTTAGTGACCCGGGACGGTCATTCACTACCCTCTTCCTCATAAATGTTTTAAAGTTAGACACCAACCTTCTTAGTATTCATCAATCAATTAATTATAAACAATATAACAAGAAAAAAAAATTCTAAAGGAATGCGTTTTTCCATCCATTTTTTGTAAATATTATAGGGTTGCTAATGACCCGAGGTGTGTAACAATGTAAGTACAGTATATTTTTTCTGCACAACAATAATTAAATCTCTGATTACTGAATAAGTGCAATTCACCTTTACTCCACAAGGTGACAATGTCTGATACACAATGATGAAGTGACGTTTCACTCATAGTTACCGCAGGCAGAAAACAAAAGAATAGGAAGTATCATCAGCTAAACTTGGAATGGCTCAGCGATTTACTACAGAGCAAGTACTGAACGCAATCAAATATTAGTGTAAAAAAAAAACAGAATATGTAATAATGATTGGCAAAACATTCATGCATTTAAGGGTTAAAGTAAGTGATTTCTGAGAAATGTTGTTTGAAAACTGAAATCAACACCATGAATATTTTCTGGCTGTGTAAATAGGAGAACAAAAAACTAAATGGATTGAGCGATCAGACTGAGCACCAAAAAACTTTTGCAGCCAATCAGAAATGGGGGTGCATATGCTCATGATGGGGGGGGGAGTGAGCAAGTGGGAAATTTTGTAGAAAGACTATAGAAAGAGAGATGGCTGAGATATTACCAAAGAGGTAAAAGGTCAGAGGAATACAATTGGAAGAAGAAGGGTTACGATCAGGCAAGGGCTGAGACCCGCGTTAATATTGGAAAAGCTTTCTAGAGCTGGAGAGACGTTAGAGAGTAGGAAGGCCTGAAAATCGGTTGCTTTGTTTCTGCTCGATACGTGAGTAACACTGGTTTTGCTATGTTTCACAGAACCGAAATATGCTGATGTACAATTTGCTGTTGTTGTTGAATCAAGGCTGATTCATCCATACTTGGGCAATTGCTGTGTTGCATAGCATGTTCGTTATAATGTCAAATTGCCATTACCAAGACACTGACAGGTTATGATGTATTGGGTAATGTCAAGTTGTCATAACAAAGACATCTCAAACAATGTCATATTTGCATTAAAAATGTCATAATTGAGCAAATGACACTTAATGACAGTTGTCATAAACATGCTAAACCCTCCTTCATATTCATTATGAAAGTGCAATGTCAGTCTTATGCACACCCTTTCAAGTAAAGTGTTACCGTTTAGGGCTTATTATCCAACAGAACTGCACTGACCTGTCTCTGTGTGGCAAAACTCTGATGAGAAAGAAATGTCATCCAGAGCAACATATCCACCACGGGCACTGTTGAACGCCACCTCAAACACCACCTAGTAATCCAAATACACCAATCAATCTAAATCAGACAAATGAAGTACCCAACATGAAGGGAACAATTAGTCCCCAAAATGATTAATTCATTTTGAAAACTGAAAAAAGTTTTAAATGGATTTAGTTTGTAACTCAGTGTAAAAGCAAATTTTTAAAAACACTACAAGGTTCAAAGAGTGATGCATTCGTATTAGTAACACTTCAGACGGTGAACTCATCTGCTGGAGAGAATCTCCAGACTCCACACACACTCTCACTCTCATTATTTACATTGTCTCCCAGAGTTGGCTGCTCACACTCAAACATGGCAGCCACAGCGCTAGCTCTTCACTTCATGTTTATACTATTCCTACAGATGCAAAATAAACACTCCCATTTTCCCCAGTACAGAGATGATGTTATGTATGGTTTGAAATAGATCAACCTTTGAACTATATTTAAAAAATTACAAAAGGTATCTATTACCATTATTACAGTTCATAATCAAAGCAATGGTCAGTTTTCAGTTAAACTATTTATATTTGATTTGGTGGTTACAGAAAATATATATCTTTAAAACACTTACTGACCCCAAACGTTTGAACAGTAAAGAGTCAGTGAGGTTTTTCAGGGGTTTTCGGCAAAAATGTATACTCCATGAATGCATTAAATTGGTCGGTAAAGACTATACACATACATATATATATATTTCTATTCAAAGAATATTGAAAAAAAGCAACTGCTTTCAACAATAATAGAAAAACAATAACATTCAAAACAATAATACTGAAAGGCCATGTGAGACTGAAGACTAAAGTACTGGCTGCTGAAAATTCAGCAAAATATTTAAAAATCATACCTACCCCAAACTTTTGAACGACAGTATATATTCCAATTAGTTACGAATGTCATAATATGAATATTAGTCTAAGTTAGTGACATTCATTACTAACTGAATGTACATTAACAAAAATGTGCTAATCTATTATTGAAAATTATTGCAAAAGTGTTAGCCATTCATCTACTGGAGTTCAAAATATATTTATATAGAGGGTGTAAAGAACCCTTCCTAGAAGATTAATTCATAATTGTTTGACTTAAACTTGCCATCTATAACATGACAAAGTCTGCACAACATCTTATATATGTCAACCGTGCAATAGGCCCCTTTTATAAATAGGTGCACGTCTTGTTAGGATAGTGTTCTTGCGTATACATGTGGGAACTACAGCTCTTAAGCCATGATAGTGTATTTGCAAATGGCTTTAGTATGTTTTGGGTAGTTAAAACTTGTAATATATATTAAGTAGAAAGCTTACATATGGATAGTGTCAACATGTGAATGTTCTGTAGTGCATTCATGCATTTGCTTTGACCTGTAGTGCAGAACATGAGCAAAAAGATGTGAAGAAAAAAGGATTTATCGCAGGCTGAAATACCTGTTGTGTTTAATTTTACTTTATAAGAGATTATTTTAAATTAACAACAGTAAAAAAAAAAAAATGGATTTTTATTTTTTGATGGAAACTAAATGCACTAAATGCACCTTAAAACGCATGCATATTTGAAAATTTATTTTTTCTATTCTGTTGCCATATAGTTTATATTTAAAGTGGTGTTTTTGTCTAATGTCACCATACTGTGTCTCGCAAAGCAGTGATACATAAAAACTTCACTGACCTCTAGAGGATGTGGTGCCTTTATATCCACTTGCACTAACTTCCAATTTGAGGTTGCATACACATCAGGTCTCCATATCTCTTCATAGTGGCCCAGCTGGTCCTTAGTGAAGACTGAGAAGAAATTCCCAATGGCTTGGTCCCGTTGGTAGTAAAAGGACAAGCATCCTGCCATTGAACTGGTAGTCATTGGTGACACCAACTTGGCCACCTCTTGGAACCTTTTAGCATAAATTGAGTCCACATACATGTAGTGACCTAGTTCAGAGTGGAAAGAATAAACAAAGAATTGATTCACAAAGGACATTCCTCAGGGTAAAAGAGTAAAGCAAGCTCCAAACCAAGAGAATTGTGGGTTGAAAAAAGCTATTGTCTTGTTGGAGAGCCTGGTTTGATTCATTCCAGCTCTTGACCAAGTGTGCAGTGGAGCTATTCTGTCAGTCTGTATTATTACCTCTTTCATTGTTCATGGTGTGGTCATCTGGAAGGTTTGACTGAGGGTCCCGGGCCAAACTCCCACCCACATACCAGTTCACATTGGGATTCCACTGATTGCTGTAGCCACACAAGTGATGTTCCTCAAAGTTGCACTCTAAACAGAAATTAAAGATTATTATTAACATGGGAAGGAATGTAGGTAACGCTTCCTTTTACAGTCCTGTTTCCCATGTACTTACTATGTACTTATTATAGTAACTATAATTACTGGGTAATAACTAGGTACTAACCCTGAACCTACCCCTAAACCTACCCCTAACCCATGTACTTACCTTATATTAGCCAGTACTTTCTAGGTAAGTACACTGTATAACTGCATTAGCACAAAGAGTCAAGAGTGGTGGTATAGCAAGGTACATTCAAATCAACCCTGCTAACCAATGAGGTTTGTGTGCAGTGTCTTATTTTCAGATGTTCTTGCAAGGGGTTTTAACAAATAACTATTTCATTCTTTTTTTAACAAAATGCAATGAAATGAAATCAGAAGACTTGGAATGTAGCACATAAATGTTATCGACTGCTGTTCCCTATCAGTCGGTCACTCTCGGCGTACATCATGACCGACGAATAGGAATCTCGCTAGAGAGGCCAATCTACTTTTGAGTGAAACTAAACGAGCGAATGCACATTGGCGTGCAATCATTTGCATCTACTGTTCAGCCACACAGCAGGGGTATATAATGAGCAGCAGGTGCGATTGCACTTCAGCTTTTTGCTTCGGAGCCGAGCGTTTCAATGCTGTTCTCTTCAGTGAAGCTGTTTAAATTAAACTAGCAAGCTCTCCAGGAGGATCTCTCACGTCTGGTGTGGGCGATACAGCGCGGCAGTGTGGTCGACTTCTTTCTGTCTCTCTCTTTCTGTCTTTTTGTGTTTGTGTTGTTTGTAAACTGAGCAAAACAAAAAGGCTGTTTTTACAGCTGGTGCGCCAAGAGCGCTGAAAGGCCGTTCTTATGGCTGGTAAGATCGCCGCGAGAGAGAGACAGCGCACGACAGGCTGCAAACTTCCCTGTCTGTGTTCGCTGCGACCATTGAACATGCTGATGCAGTGTTCGTGGATGAGTCATATACCTATTGTGGGAAGATGACCATCTCTGAGCTATGGTCGAGACTCTCGTTCCTGCAAAGGGGCGGAGTCCCTGCGCCTCTGCCACGATCTAATACTCCACAGAGGGTTACTTTAGGCAGTGGTGCAGGTGACCTAAGGATTGCGGTGAGCGCGCTTCCTTCGGGGAACCAACCCCTAGGAACCATCCCTCCCGCGCTCCGCAGCCAGTAGAGCCGCCAACGGAACGTGCTGGACCATCCACGAGGTGTGTACCAGTAGTTTCCTACGGCGCTCTCCACGATGAACAGATGTCGATCGCTGCATCGGAGGATGGGTCAGACTTCTTTGCAGATGACAATTCGGCGTCGCTGCCCCCTTCGGGTGTGGCAGCTGTACCCGAGTCGGACCCTGAGATGAGGGCCATGCTTTCCCAGGCCCCCCCTCCACCGTGTCCCGACACCCCGAGGCTGGACGATTGGTATCTCAGGGTGGCGCGCGCTGGTTCTCAGCAATCCACCCAGGTGCCTTTCTTCCCGGAGGTGCATGAGGAGTTCACTGGGACGTGGATGGCACCTTTTACTGCCAGAAACTGTCCCGGTGGCTCCTCCTCCCTCACCACCCTTGATGGCGGGGCGGCTAAGGGTTACATGCGCATCCCACCAGTGGAGCGGGCCGTTGCTATGCAACTGTGCCCTAACTCTACTTGGCGTGGAGAGCTGTGTCTCCCTTCCCGGGCCTGTAAGCACTCGTCGGACTTAACCGGTAAGGCTTACAAGGCATGTGGGGAAGCCGCCTCTGCCATGCACGCCATGGTGTTGTTGAAGGACCTGCACGAGGGTGGTCATGATCCAAGAGTTCTCCAAGAACTTAGTGTCGCAACGGACCTCGTGCTTCTTGCGACGAAGGTCACCGCGCGGTCAGTGGGTTGTGCGATGTTCACTATGGTGGTCCAGGAACGCCATCTCTGGTTGTGTCTGGCTGACATGAGGGAGACCGACAAAGTCAGGTTCCTTAACTCCCAGACCGTCCTCTTCGGTGACACAGTCAAGAACTTTGTCCCGCAGTTCTCGGCTGTACAAAAGCAGACTGAGGCGATTAAACATATCCTGCCACGATGGTCAGCTGCTGCCTTCACCCCATCAGCGGGCAGCAGCGTGCAGTTCGAGAACGCATCCAAGCAGCCTCCTGCCCTGTGGAACCAGGTAAGTGTTGCACCGCACACTCAGACCCCGCTACGGGCCGCCTCCCAGAGAGAGCCTCCCGAGCCGTGTCCCTGCGTTCCACCTCGCTGCCCCACTGCGGGTACGCCTACGGTCCCTTTGGTCCCGCTTGTACGGTCTCTAGAAGCCTGGTTAGCGCTCCCCAGTCCATCTCGCTGGCTCATTCGGACCATCAGGCTCGGCTATGCGATTCAGTTCACCTGGCGTCACCCCAAGTTTCGGGCCATCCACTCCACTACAGTGAGAGCAGCCGATGCCCATGTCTTGCGAGCGGAGATCGCAGTCCTACTGGTGAAGGACGCGATAGAGCCGGTCCCTCCAGGGGATATGAGGTCAGGGTACTACAGTCCCTATTTCATTGTACCCAAGAAAAGCGGTGGGTTACGACCAATCTTGGACCTGCGAGTTGTGAATCAGAGTCTCCACAAGCTACCGTTCAAAATGCTCGCGCAGAAACGCATTTTCGAATGCATCCGTCCCTGAGATTGGTTTGCAGCGATCGACCTGAAGGATGCGTACTTTCATGTCTTGATTCTTCCTCGACACAGGCCTTTTCTGCGCTTTACGTTCGAGGGTGGAGCATATCAGTACAAGGTCCTGCCCTTCGGGCTGTCCCTGTCTCCCTGTGTCTTCACGAAAGTCACGGAGGGGGCCTTGTTCCCAAGAGAGAACCGGGCGTTCGCATCCTCAACTATCTCGACGACTGGCTCATACTAGCACACTCTCGAGATCAGTTATGCGAACACAGGGACCTCGTGCTCAGGCACCTCAGCCAGTTGGGACTTCAGGTCAACTGGGAAAAGAGCAAACTCTCCCCCGTGCAGAGGATCTCTTTTCTCGGTATGGAGTTGGATTCGGACGCACAGACAGCGCGCCTCACAGAGGAACGCACTCAGTCGGTGCGGAACTGCTTGAATACGTTCAAAGGCAGGACAGCGGTCCCACTGAAATTTTTTCAGAGACTCCTGGGGCATATGGCAGCGGCAGCAGCGGTAACACCGCTCGGGCTGCTCCATATGAGACAGCTTCAGCACTGGCTTCACGGCCGAGTCCCGAGGTGGGCGTGGCATCACGGCACTCACCGGGTGACAATCACACCGGCATGCCGCCAGACCTTCAGCCCATGGTCAGACCCTTCGTTCCTGAGGGCAGGAGTGCCCTTGGAACAGGTGTCCAGGCATGCAGTGTTGTTCACAGATGCCTCTGCCACCTGGCTGGGGTGCCACGTACAACGGGCATGCAGTGTCAGGGGTGTGGACGGGCCCCCAACTGCTTTGGCACATCAACTGCCTCGAGTTGCTAGCAGTATGTCTCGCTCTGAGCCGCTTAAAGAGGCTGCTACAGGGCAGGGACGTGCTGGTCCGTTCGGACTACACTGCGACCGTTGAGTACATCGACCGACAAGGTGGTCTATGCTCCCGTCGCATGTCGCAACTCGCCCGCCATCTCCTCCTCTGGAGTCAGAAGCATCACAGGTCGCTTCGGGCCATCTATGTCCCCGGAGTGCTCAAGCGTGTGGCCGACGAGCTATCACGAGCTGTGCTCCCGGGAGAATGGCGATTCCACCCCCAGGTGGTTCAGCTGATCTGGAGAGAGACCTCCCACTGCCAGCTGTTTTACTCCCTGACTGATGGAACACTCTGCAAGGACGTACTGGCACACAGCTGGTACGTGGCCCTCGCAAATATGCATTTCCCCCAGTGAGCCTACTTGCACAGACACTGTGCAAAGTCAGGGAGGACGAGGAGCAGGTCCTTCTGGTTGCTCCCTATTTTGCCCACCCAGACCTGGTTCCCAGAACTCATGCTCCTTGTAACAGTCCCTCTCTGGCCCATTCCTCTGAGGAAGGACCTTCTGACTCAGAGACGGGGCACCCTATGGCACCCGCGTCCGGACCTCTGGAAACTCCATGTGTGGTCCCTGAACGGGAGGTGGAGGTTCTAAGTGACTTACCCCCAGAGGTAATTAAAACCATCACTTCTGCGCGGGCGCCATCTACGAGACATGCGTATGCCTTGAAGTGGAACCTGTTCGCCGAGAGGACCCCCGAAGATGCTCGATAGGGTCCGTGCTTTCCTTCTTGCAGCAAGGGTTGGAGCGAAGGCCGTCCCCCTTCACCCTCAAAGTACATGCTGCCGCTATTTCAGCATATCACGACCACATAGATGGCAAAACAGTAGGAAAGCACGACCTGGTCGTAAGGTTCCTTAGGGGGGCGAGATGGTTAAATCCTCCTCAACCCCCCTCCATACCCTCTTGGGACCTTTCCCTGGTGTTTCGAGCACTCCAGGAGGCTCCCTTTGAGCCTTTGCAATCAGCAGACTTAAAGCTTCTATCCATGAAGACTTTGCTGCTGGTTGCACTGGCCTCTATCAAGAGGGTAGGGGACCTGCAGGCATTTTCGGTCGACGAATCGTGCCTAGAGTATGCGCCAGGTGACAACCATGTTGTACTGAAACCCCGGCCTGGCTATGTGCCCAAGGTTCCTACCACTCCCTTCAGGGACCAGGTGGTGAACCTGCAAGCGCTGCCCCTGGAGGAGGCAGACCCAGCCCTGGCTTTGCTCTGTCCCGTTCGCACTCTGCGTCTGTACGTGGACAGAACTCAAAGTCTAAGGACCTCAGACCAGCTCTTTCTCTGTTACGGGGGCCGGCAGAAGGAAAAGGCTGTCTCCAAGCAGAGGATGGCCCACTGGATAGTGGACGCCATCGCCTTGGCTTACCAAGTACAAGGGCGCTGGCACGTGGCTCTCCGCCCGTGTTCTCCCCCTAAACGGGTAGAAGCAATGAGAGGCCCGGCTCTGTCGGCTTCCTGCACCCTATTGTGCACCCTTATTGCTCCAGAGTGAAAAACCTGTTGAGTCCTCCAACACCCTCGGCCCGGACGTGGTGGAGCGTCCGGCGCCAGGCCTTTATCCGTTGAATCCTTGAGAACCCGGTCTGGGCTGCGTCCCATATATGTGTCCCTGCGGGGATCCCATATGTGCTGGGCAGCCAGCTCATCAGCTCCTCAGCAAAAAACTGAAGTGCAATCGCACCTGCTGCTCATTATATACCCGCGCTGCGTGGCTGAACATCTGATACAAATAACGGCAATGTGAATTGGCAATGTGAATTGGCTCATTTAGTTTCACTCGAAGTAGATTGGCCTCTCTAGTGAGATTCCTATTCGTCGGTCACGACGTACACCTCCGTTCCCTCCTTCAGGGAACGAGGGTTACCATACATAACTGAGACGTTATGGTACTTGTTTTTTGAGTTAACAGCTACAATCATCATCCTCTCGTCCCTCATACCTTTCAGGAATAAAATCAAATGGGTTTGGACATTGATATATTACTCAAAATATAAAGCTGGAACTAATTGCAGAAAATTAATGTTACAGAAGTTTTTCAATTAAAAAAATTTAACATAATTGTGATAATTTTATGCTTCATGCTTTTGTTTCAGTTGTAAGCATCATTTATTATTAAATCAGATCAAATTACACTAAGGGGGGTGCAGAAGTTTTTCTACTTTCAAAGTAGGGCGTGACAAAAAAAATAAAACTACTTAATTAGCATAACATGGTGTTCCTGCAAAAAGTTTGGATTTTTAAAGCATCATGAATGCTGTGGTCCTTTGTACTGGTTAAGAGTATAAAATCTGAAGACTTACCTATACAGTATCCAGGGATGATGTGTATTTCAAAAACAGCAACGCTATTTCCCATTCCTCTGCTGGGTTTAGCCTCAAATAATAGCTAAAAGTAAAAGTCAAAAAGTAATAAACAAAGAGAAATTAAACAGTTTGGGCAGCAACAGTTAAAATGCACCGATTGCTATCAATTCAACAGACAAAAATTTTTTATTTTATTATCCAAAACTTATAAAACAATCTTTATCTAACTCATTATGACAGGACATAACCTCTTCACAGTCTTTCAGTGATCATAAATCAAACACAGCTTCAGTTTTACACACAGTCTAATTTTAGAGTAAATATAACATCAGAAGGTTTACATCACACATCTCAAGTCAAAACTAGCATAATAGATCCACTTTCTTTCCAGTCATAATTCATTACACTTGTTATTAAACAAAGTCAATTTATATTCCTTTGTTTATAAACGGCAAGTATTACGCTCAGTCTATCTTTCCAAATGTAATTCCCAAAAACACAGAATTACTATTAGTGTAGTAAAATAGTACAAGTGCTTGTCTGATCAAGGGAGAGACGTATCCACTGTAGTATTTACAAAGGGCTCTTTTGTTCACTCAGCTCCTCTCAAACTCTCTTTTAAGCTAAGGTCCTCTAGCAAACTATGAATAGTCTCGACTACATTATGTCACATACACTACCCCCTCGTTTCCTTCCTTTGCATTCAAACACAGTAGTGACTGTGCCACGTCAGGCAGATACCTGGTAAGCCTCAGACATATTACGGAGGTCCACGCTGGCAATGAGCCAACTGTCTGAGGGTTTCTCCGCCGTCCATAACACGTAGTCAAAGTTCTCGCCCTCGGGTCGCAAATGCAGTTGAAGAGAGCCTGAGCCTGAGATCTGATAGACCAACCGCATACAGCTCCAGTCTCTGAGCTCCAGCTCTGGGCTGACCAGGACATACTTTTCTTTCTCACCAAAAGATGACGAATCTGCTGTGATGAAGCGACCTGAAAAAAAAACAGAAGAGTCATAATTTCAATATTGTTGAGAACAGAGATGTATGCATAAGTCTAAGAACAGAATAGAAACACTTCCAAAATGTAACATTCAGTTTACATTGAGTTATGTTATTTTCATTGCAGGATAAAACAATGAATCTGGATTTTCAGATCCTGGAAGTCAAATCAATCTAATGATCCAGGGTCTCACAGGGTCATCAGTAATGAACAGAAACCTCTTAAAAACGTAATTAAAATGAATGGGCGACTGTTTCACCATTTTAAACTGTGTGTCAAAAAACAGGTGTGATCCGTATCAGGTTCTCCAAAATAAAGTGCATGCAATCACAGCAAACGAAGACTTATGGGAGACTCAAGTGGTAATTTAACAGTCCATTTAGTCTTCTGAATTTAACAAAGCGACTGTTTAGAGCACAGAAATAGGTTACGTTCACTTTTAAAAGAAGAATTATTAGCTGTCAGAAATAAAGTAATCATATACTGTACGTTGTATTATGTATCCAATTTCCTCTTGTTTAATCTGCATCAAACCTCGACATGATGTAAAAGTGTTTGCTGCCGTTAGCTTCAGTGATCTCTGATAGCTCCAGATGTTCTCATGGTGATTCATTCCAGGTGCCAGATGAAAACAATGCCTTTTTTGCTCTCTCTTTATGACCTCTTGCAAAAACACACAAAATGTCTACACTTTGGTTTGTCCCTCTTTTGGGATTTCATATATTTAATCCTTGAGCAAATACCAATTGTTAATGTCCCACTTCTTTAGCCATGACATCAGCTTCTGAGGTAGGTGTTTAAAATAGTGAAGTCATGTCTTTTGTAAGGTCAATTGAAATTAGTTCCCATTTTGTGGAAATATATTGGTGTTGTTCCATCTCCTGTTTCTTTTTCTACTGTAAAACAGGTCGCCATCTTAATTCAAGCATCCTGATGATGAAATCACACACTATGCATACCCTTTACATAAAAAAAAGAAAAATACTTTGGGATTAACCTAGTGTTCGCTTAAAAACCAAAGTATACTTTAGGCATATTATTTATCCATTCTATGGTGAGAAAATACTATCCATCAAAGTAACAAAATATGCAGCGATAGCATTTCTAGTGGTAATTATAAGTAGTGGGGAAATGATTCTGCATGGGGGGGTCAACATGAGAGAGGCATTTAGTGAAGAAACAAATAAAGGATAAAGTGCAATTCTCGCTACACACTCAAAACTCACTGCAGCAGCTGTTATTCAATGGCTGGAAGTAGCCCACCTCCTTCTGATTCTTAAGAAAAAGGATTACATGTTTAGATGAACTCTGTGAATGTCTCCTGGACATCTTCAAATACCTAAATGATTTCTACAGCTGCTGAAAATGGCTGGAGAAACAAGGTTAGCAGATCCCCAGATTCAGTTTTTTCTCATAATTTCCATCTCAACTCCTTCTAGAAATGTTTTCTTACATTTATAGTTTTTGGCTGCCTGTACATTTTATAAATGAATATGATTAATGCTCTAAATGGTATTATTTAATGATATTGTTTTCTATAATCATAGCAAAGAGTGGGCACACTGATACACAGTAACACAGGTCTACATCTTTTTTTTTTAAATAACACAAAAGTTATATGGCAAATAGATCATCGTCTGAATTCATTCATTAAAAATTTAGTAAAGTTCCTTCATTTTCCTAAAACTAAGACGTCTGTCTCTGCTGTGTTTCCAGTACAAAGTGTTGTCTAGGAAACCAAACAGAGACACACATTTGTTGCCCAGTCTTGTTTTATTGACCTGTGGGGAAAAACTCACTCCAAAAGCAGGAGACACCAGACAACTGCCCACGGTATGTTCACTAGACTACACTTCTTTCATCATACTTCGGTCAACAGTCATTCTAAAGCATCTCCTCTGTTTTCCCCACAACAGCTGAGCCCATCCAGTTGTTCACCAGCCATCATAGTTTTTGGCAGAGGACAGAAACAAAATTTAAGCAATGATAACAAAGCTTATTTTTTAGAACAGAGCACAAACAGTTATAGAAAGTGCTAATTGTGCTTAAAGTACAATAATATTAAGGTACAAAGACAAGTATCATGCAAGAAAAAATGTATAGCATGACAGCTGTCCTGCAACGTGTCTCTTGCGAGATGGTGGACTGAGAAGAGTTATAGCACGCATAATCTGTGAAACATCTCTGGCCAGTGTGCATCATAAAAGCCTATTAATAATCCTTAAAATCCTTAGTTCCAATGAACAGAGATCAGATAATGCCCTGTCATGTAGAGCAGGCTCACTCAATGAAGTGCAGATTACAACCATCAAGCCGTAAAGGGTTAGATCACCCCAAAATGAAAATTCTGTCATTAATTACTCACCCTCATGTCGTTCCAAACCCATAACACCTTCGTTCATGTTCGGAACACAAATGAAGATATTTTTGATGAAATCCGAGACCTTTCTGACCTCTCCATAGACAGCAACGCAACGGCTACTTTCAAGACCCAGAAAAGTTGTAGACATCGTTAAAATAGTCCATGTGACTCCAGGGGTTTAACCTTAATGTTATGAAGCGACGAGAATACTTTTTTGGACTTTAATGAAGAATTTGAGTTACATTAACTATTTTAAATATGTCTTTACTACCTTTCTGGGCCTTGAAAGTGGCCGTTGCGTTGCTGTCTATGGAGAGGTCAGAAAGGTCTCGGATTTCATCAAAAATATCTTCATTTGTGTTCCGAAGATGAACGAAGGTCTTATGGGATTGGAATGACATGAGGGTGAGTAATTGTGGCGAGCAGGACGAGGTCGAGGGCCGTGGGAGAACGGCGCGAGGCCGGTGCCGTGATTACTAATGAGCGACACCTGCGCGACGCACCGGTCTCATATCTCTCACGGAGGAGCGGAAGCATAAAAGGAGGAGTGACGACAGTGGAGATCGAGAGAGGAACAGGCCTGAACTTATGTTGTGTTATGTTATATTATATGTAACAGCAGTCGTCGGTGAGGGGCTGCTGTCTTTTACTTTCGTTTTGTATTTGTTTTATTTTATGTTATTAAATATTGTTGAATGTTTGCCGGTTCCCGCCTCCTTCTTCCCATAACATCTGAACTGCGTTACAGTAATTAATGACAGAATTTTTGGGTGAACTATCCCTTTAAACTCTGAAGAAAGTAGGGCAGCAATTTTTTACAAGTCCTGTATATACAGTATAATGATGCATTTCAATTCAATCACATTCCTTAACCAGTTATAACATAAATTAAAGTATACAGGGTGCACATGAAACCAGGAATCCATGTTACCAGTGGTCATGAAGAGATGCTCCGTATTTATAGCCAAAAATGTGATTTTTTAAACTTGATATCTGAAATTTGATTGGCTGCTGATAGTCATTTTTGTTTATTTGCACAATTTATTTTTCATGGCTTGGTTAAGCACTTGCCACGAAGAAGACATGTCAATTAGAATTTTCCTTGATCAAACTGTTTTTAAGGTTTTAGTTGTAGCTAAAGATTTTAAAACAAATTGGCATGCATCCTCAGATTCAGAATGTCTTGTTGTCTATGGTGGTCAGATAAAGGTCAGTTAGTCAAAATGGGCAACGCCAGACTGTTTAATTGATTTACATCTTCAAAACGCCTTGTTATATCAAAAATATTTTTGTCATGAGGGTCTTGGAACGATGTGTGACAAGTTTTATATGCTTGCATGTGGTATGCTCTTTTCTGAATATTCGACTAGAAAATGTGAATCTGCGCATTTCCTCTACATTATCTCGGTACCTCTTATTGTGTGCCAACTTTTTGCTGGGCCTAATACATGCCATGGTGTTCTACATGCACAAATGGTCACAACACTTCATCTGTATCCGAATAAACAGTTTCTATTGTGCATTTAAACTAAAACAAAACTTGGCGTCAAGATAAAATGGCGTCTAGTACATTAAATGTATGTTAAAGGGATAGTTCACCTAAAAATGAAAATTCTGTCATCATTTACACACCCTCAAGTTGTGGGTGAATAAATTCTGACAGAATTTTCATTTTTGAGTGAACTATCCCTTTAATTCTGAGAGTTTATTCGCATGTCAAGTGTTTCTTTTCAGGATATGCGCATTTTCAAAATTGGCATTAAAATAGTTGTATGGAAACCCAACTGATTGTGCATATGTTCCGTTACCTTTCCCTACCCCACTAACTTGCCGGATCCATCCCACCATTGTTCCGGGACCTCATAGTTTACAAATTAAGCACTAGTCCCGACCTCACGCATGTAAACACATCATCAAAGAGAAGAGATGTCCTTGCAAGAGGAAGGGGAAGTTATTTTGATTAAAGATTACAAGGGCACATGCATTTTAATTATGTGCACAGATAATTAATTTCATTTATCAACAACAATTGTCAAAAAACAACAACAACTGTACATTTTTAATTCACAGTGACTTTAAGGCTGTTTTTTTTTTAGCCTAATGATTTTGGAAAAATCTTAAAGGGATAGTTCACCCAAAAATTAACATTCTGTCATTAATTACTCACCCTAATGTCGTTCCAAACCATAAGACTTTCGTTCACCTTCGGAACACAAAGATCGTTTTGACGAAATCTGAGAGCTTTCTGTCCCTCCATTGACAGCTACGCAACTACCACTTTGACGCTTCAAAAAGTTCATGAAGAGATTGTAAAACTAATCCATATTAATTGAGTGATTTAGGTCAAATTTTCAGAAGAGACTCAATCGCTTATATGATGAACAGGTTTAATTTAGGCTTTTATTCACATATAAACATTGATCTGTGAACATAAACAGAAGCTCAAGAGCAGAGTGCGGAGCAGTAAGCAAGAGCGTCCAAACAGTAGCTAAGCAGGAAGCAGGAATCAAATGTGAAAACAAACCTCTTGAAGCTCATTGGTTTTTGCAGAAGCTCAAACATGCTGCGTTACACACGAGAATGAACCTCATTGGTTCTTGCAAAAGCTCAAACGTGCTGCATAAGTTGATGAATGTTTATGTGAATAAAAGGATAAATTCAATCTGTTCATCATATAAAGCAATTGTGATTCTTCAGAAAATGTTGGACTTCATATGGATTAGTTTTACGATCTCTTTATGAACTTTTTGAAGTGTCAAAGTAGTATTTCATAGCTATCAATGGAGAGACAGAAAGCTTTCAGATTTCATCAAAAAGATCTTCATTTGTGTTCTGAAGAAGAACGAAAGTCTTACGGGTTTGGAACGACATGAGGGTGAGTGATTAATGACAATTTTCATTTCTGGATGAACTGTCCCTTTAAGTTTGAGATTTCTACAAGTTGCGGTCTCTGATACACTTGGGGCAGAAAAAGAATAATTGGCAAACCAGTAGCCTACATATAAAAGTGCTTGGACCCTTCTCATACCTTCCTCGTTGATGGTCCAGGCAGCATAAGCGGGATCAGACGTGTAGCCGCAGCTGTCCGCGTCAAAACTGCACGAGCCGCGCAAAAGCTGCGTCTGAGCCCGCGTCAGAAGAGCGACTGCTGAGGATGACATAGCCTAACATCAGATAAACACTAGACTAACGTCTTAATGAGAGTTAACTCGCTCTGTTATAATAGGCTATGTTATAATATCCCAGATATAATAGCTATGTCTGAGATAGATGTAGCCTACAACAAGTCAATTCAGCAACGAACAAGTCCACGTTGAAGCAACAAATAAAACTTGCAGAAGCATGCAAACAAACAATTACAGATTTTCCATTAGGAAAAGTGATGACCTACCCAGAAGGGTTGAGAAGTGAAGCAAACTCATGGCGAAAGTTGCAGGGATGCTGGAGTGGAAGAGTGAATATCCACTAACGCAGATTTCGTACGGCAGCGTGAGCACACAGCGCACTGCGAACGCTGCATTCACTCTCCATGCTTTGACTCTTGACTCAGTGCTGAACAGACAGTGGGACGAGGGAGTGGTTGTTGAGGTTTCTATTTCAGAACAGGCAATGGATCTCCCTTAAGAGTCTGCCACTGTGTAAACGTCTGCAGAAATGACATAGGCCTAATTCTAATCATGCATGAGATTTAGAATCAAGGGTATTTCAACTTTTGAATGGGGTCTTTTTTTATGCAATTCAGCAATTTGTTGTCTTATATGTAAACATCTTTTATGTAAAATATCTTATTCAGGATAGTACTAAATAAAAATAACTTGCATTTTGTATGATCCCTCTTAGTTTGTTAAAATAATTAACATTTTAGGGGTATGTAAACTTTTGACCACGACTATATGAACAGTTTCAGGACAATTTCTAATCTCATTTCTGAATGTCATTTTCCTCCTAATTTTCCTTGAAGTAAATTAGCATGAGATAATGGAACGAAAATAGACATTCATCTTTATTGAAGTAAGCTGAACCAAACCACTGACAAGGTCAGGAAGTACCAGCACAGGAGTGCGTGCGTGGTTCATGTAGTGGTCTGGTAGAGTTAAAAGCAACAAAGTAATTTTGTTTAAAAAAAAAAAAAAAGTGTACACTATACATGGTGGGAATGGGTTTTTATGTTAGGAACATTGTCTTCTCTCTTAATCTGCCTAATAAAACTGGAATTGGTAACAACATAGACCCAGCTGCAGGCTTTCAACAATCCTGTTGTGAGGCTGTTACTTTTTACAGTAATATCCTGCAGGCACAAGATCCACAGAGCAACAAATCCACTGCATATATGCACAAGGATTGTGGCAATTCCCATGGGATCACACCTAGAGTGGAGCTTTGTCCTCTGTGTAGAGATTTCTACTGTTAATATAACATCCAACGTCTCCAAAACAAAGAGAAAAGAAGGAAGGAAAGAAACAATTAGTTTAAATATTGTGGAAAATATGTTCCTAGGAGATGCAGTTTTTTATGTTCACTGACAGGACTGGGTCTGATGCAGAATGATTCACTGCATGTTTACTGTGAATGCACTCCACTTATAAACACACATGCACTGCATTTTAGAAATATTTATTGATTGTGTCATATGAGCTTTTTTATCTGCTGAGTATACACTCAAATATTATATTTCATCCTTTAGCTCAAATTGTACATTGTTATTATTAACTAAAAATAAAACTATTAGAATAGTTTCTGTAGAAATAAAGCTATAGAGATATCTATCTATCTATCTATCTATCTATCTATCTATCTAGATAGATAGATAGATAGATAGATAGACAGATAGATAGATAGATAGATAGATAGATAGATAGATAGATAGATAGATAGATAGATAGATAGATAGATAGATAGATAGATAGATAGATAGATAGATAGATAGATAGATAGATAGATAGATAGATAGATAGATAGATAAATAGATAGATAGATAGATTATTGCAGTCAGTAAGTATCGACAGTTCTGTCAGATCACTGAGTATAGTGTACACACAACACACAGAGGCAATGGGGAAATCATTTTAATGTGTCATTTCTTTCTCTTTCCTCTCTCACTACATGTCCGTTGCCACGCAGAGAGTGAGTTTGGACTGTGTTCTGTAAATTTCCCCTCATTCAGGAAGCCCTCTCTCAGGCAGTCCTGTGTGAAGATCCTGGGTTTTTCACTAACCATGTGTTTAGCTTGGAGGACTGCACTTTTCCACACATAGCCTGAAGAACAGGAATGATGGGATTGCTGGAGGATGAATTCTCCACTAACCAGGGCTTGACATTAACACCCGCCAACCCGCCAAATGCGGGTGGATTTTGCTCGTGGCGGGTAACACAGTCACTTCAACTAGCCACTTTGGCGGGTTGAATAATTGTAGTCTTTTCAAAAGGCATCTGAAGCGCACTGGCTGCGTGGCGTGCGCGTCTCCGCTGCGTGGTGTGTCCGTTTTTATTTCGGCTCCCATGTTAACAGGTTAGAACTTGCACACTGCCTGCGTGACGCGCGTCTCGAGCCGCGCCGAAAACGCGTGCATGCTAGAAAAAAAACCGACGCCTATTTCCCACGCGACACGCAAGCCTGTTGGAAGCGTTTCCAGGCTAAATAGAATAGGAAAATATGTCATGTTGACACGAACACATATTAATAAATGGCATTTTTATGTTTGAAAGTCCATAGGTTTTGGCAAATGCAGATATAATTTAAAAAAAAATCAAATATTGCACCTGTCAATACAGAACGAAATATTCTTATAGCCTATTTTGCCGTCTATGCTGCAACGCCAGAATCCCGAGATAGCCCTCCATGTACGTTACCAGCAGACACCAGTCAGACACGTTTCTGCTGTGCAAAGACACAGAAAACGCAACTTGTAACAAAGAATTTCCCATCGGGGCTCAATAAAGTAATTCTGATTCTGATATTTAAACAGACAGTGTTTCTAATGCTAAAGGTTTTTTCAGTTTATTTTTTTATATTTTTTTATTAATCTTCTACATCCATGCACCACTTTTATTATGCAAGAAGCTATGTCTTCATCTTAATACATGGTTTTATAGGAGCTTTAAAGGAGCTTTACACACAACCTTATCAGAGCTAATGATAATGACCTGTATTGTTATACCTAGTCTTGATTTGCGTGTGTACAGTGGTTTTACATTTAAAAGGGTTGTAAATCTAGTTCAAGTAAATTTTAGCACGCCATAGTCAACTTTAATCAGGTAATTTCACAACAACAAAAATGTGGCTAGTAAAAATGCTGTGTGGCTAGTAACTTTGGAAAACCACTAGCCACATTGGCTAGTGAGCAAAAAAGTTAATGTCAAGCCCTGCCACTAACCATAAAAACCAGCAGATCCTGGTTCCAGCCAATAGCACTAAACAGGATATTAAATGTGTCTAAAATTATTTAAATGTATCAAATAAATAAGCAGAATGTATAAACAAGTAAAGATTTGCACATATTGTGTTAAAAAGGCACATATTAATTCATAAATTGCATTACATTAAGAGCATCACTGTTAGATCAACATGAGATTATGACACGTTAATAGGATTAGTAAGCCTGGTGATAAAACAGATGCTTGCCATCATGTTTATTGTGTTTCCAATGGCAGATCTTCAGCAGTACAGAAAGGCATGTGGTCAGGATAGTCAGTCCAATAGTGCACTATAACTGGACACTGCAATTAACTTCCGTACCACACATACTGCAAACAAACATGTATCATGCCAGTTTTCTTTTTTAGTTTTCCTGATTTTAGATTTCAGGGGCTGGGATAGACAAAAAAATATCTTCTCCGTTAAGGATGAATTTAGTTTAAAGACATAGCATACATGTCTGCATGTTAGCTTAAATAAATGCCTAATCAGCCTGTGGCTTCCTGATTGATTGGCATGGAAAAGTTTCTCACTCACAGAGCAGTTGGTAGACCCAATTTCTGGAGGCTTGATGCCTATTCATTTCTTGTTGCCAAATCATAATATGGAGCTGAATTATTGGGTATTTGATGCAGCTGTTGAGCTCACAAGTTGTTCCAAACCCACCATAACATCCTTAGACACATATTCTTCCAATTCTGTCAAACATCACAGAGAGGTTTGAGACAGATGTTGACAGATGCATGTTTGCCTGTTTTCATTGTTTGTTGCACATTTATTAAAGGATACAGTCAGCTTGTTATTGTCCCCTGGTCAGTAGCTGGTCAATAAACCCAGGCAAGGTGATCAGGACTTTGACACAAAGTTACTCACCAAATACATCAAATCTCAAATACTGATTTAAAGGGGTCATATAATGGTACATGCACTTTTTCAAGTTGATTGTACTGAAATGTGTGTTGGCAGTGCCTGTACACAACCATCATATAATGATAAAAATCCATCCAGTGTTTTTGTTTTAATATGTTTTCCCCTGCTTCAAATCGAGCCGTTCGACCGTGTGACGTCACACGGTCGGACGCCCCTCCCGCGATTGTTGATTGACAGCCGGGTTTCAACACAGAACCGCCCTCGCTCGTGAGCCAGCTGTCAATCATAGTCTGCGCGGACCGGCGCGGTCATTGTTGATATGCTGGAGCACTGTCTATGAGCAGAATGGCGTCTGAGCGATTGTGGTGTTCTGTTCTTGGGTGCAATAACGAACACAGCAGTCATTTTAATGTTCCTATTTTCGAACCGCTGAAGACGCAGTGGCTGAGTTTGTTTTCGAAGGGAATATTCCCCACGAGCAACGTCAATGCTCTCATGTTTGCGCGAATCATTTCTCAGCAGACTGCTTTATAAACGAGGGTCAGTATAAAGCTGGTTTTGCTAAGAAGCTACTCCTGAATAAAGGATCGGTACCAGCTATTCGTGTTCCTGCTGAACCTCTAGAACAACTGAAGTGAGTGTAACGTTTTATTAACCTTTATATTAATATTTATATCTTTACCAAATCGCTTGCACGCTTCACGATGAATGAGTCTAAGGTTTACACTCAGGCAGGCCCGGATTGGCCATCTGGCAATTCTGGCACATGCCAGAAGGGCCGGTGTGATTTTCTATTGTTTTGGGCCGAGCTGACCACGTTGCTGCACCTTTATCGCAAAAAAGTTTTTACGCTCGCATGAGGAGGTTTTTCAGGCAATTCGAAAAAGGAATATTTCGCAAAACTGCAATGGAAACAGTTTTTGCGCATTTACAGTCACCTGAAGACGCGGTGTGTTTGGGGTCCGTGATATACGCAAATAATAGGCTAATAAATATCATCATTATTATAACAGTTATTAGGCTACATATTTAGAAGACGCTTTTATCCAAAAAAAGGAACAAAGCAATTCGTCAAATGTCATTCATAATGGTTAGACAATATACAGGGCTAAGATTATCACAAATAAACACAAGATTTTGACGCATATCCAAGTGTTTGCTGAGCGCGCATAGCACGGAGGCGCGGCCGCGAACACTTGCTTTTTCCTATCAACAGTAGAAACAACTTAAAATAGGCCTACTCTATAATTTCTGGTCATACAGAAAATAATAATACATTATTCGCCACTATGATTTTATTTGTGTAAACTCACAATAA